AGATGGTCAGAGAAGGCTACTCTAATGACATGAAATATAAAGTAAAGACTGTGGCATAGCTACCTTTCAGTTACTTAGACCTGAAACTTCGAAGTTGCCTCAACTTATTTTTCCCTAAATATATTTTTAATTAATCCCCAATGTTGACAAAACAAGCTGCTGAAATATTATCTCTGACTTATATTCCTTAAGGACCATTGGAAAAGAATGAGAGGTTTTTTTTCTTTGCCATCTCAAGAATGCAAACGACTTTTTAAAAATTTATTTTATTGTGGCAAGAACACTTAGCATGAGTTCTGCTCTCTTAAATTTTTAAGGATATATTATTGTTGACTGCAGGTACAATGGTGCACAGCAGATCTCTAGAACTTATTCAGCTTGCTTGACTAAAACTTCAGGCTGGTGGATTAGTAATTTTCATTTTCCCTTCACCCTCAGTCCCTATTTCACTCTTTTATTCAATTGATTTGACTATTTTATATACCTCATATAAATGAAATCATGCAGTATTTGTTATTCTGTGACTAGCTTATTGCACCTAGCATAATATCCTCAAGGTTCATCCGTGTTGTAGCAAAAATTGAAAATAGGAACCATACGATCCAGTAATTCTACTTCTATGGTTTTTTTCCAAAAGAATTAAAATCAGGATCTCAAAAAAAATATTAACACCACTATGTTTATTGCAGTACTATTCACAATAGCCAAGAAGTGGAAATAATGTAAATATCCATTGACAGATGAATGGATAAAAAAAGAAAAGTAGTATATACATACAATGAAACACTACTCAACCCTTTAAAACAACAAAGATGCCTGGGTGGCTCAGTAGTTTAAGCGTTTGACTTTTGATTTCCACTCGGTCATGATTTCACGGTTTGTGAGTCGAGCCCCGAGTCAGGCTCCATGCTGACAGTGTGGAGCCTGCTTGGATTCTCTCCTCCCCCACCTCTCTCTGCCCCTTGCCCACCACTCTCTATCTCTCTCTCGAACTTTAAGTCTCGAACTTTAAATGTCTTTAAGTATCGCGTAAACAATTTTTCCAAGAGTCCAATTTTGACTTGAAAGTTCAACATCTATCATTGATGACAAATACTCTCAGCTATTTCCCTCAATATGTAAGACTCACTTCCTTCGTTTTTGAGAAAATGGTTTGCCATAAATAATAACTATAGTTTACCAGCCTTTTTTTTTTTT